TAACACTCTTACGATCTTCTTTATCTGTTCCCCAGTCTGCATCTGAATATCCTTTTAAAGTTGTATCTACATTTGAATTTTTATGATAAGTAAGTCCCATTTCCTTTGTACCTTGTAAATAGCGTAATATTCTTTTACCTGCATTCCACGTCTCTATAGTTGGTCAATCTAAAAATCTACTTAAATAAGAAATTGCGTATCCAATATCAGGTCTTGTTGTTGTAGTCAGATACATAAGTCCTCCTATTAATTGACGATATGGAACATTTTCTAGTATTTTACTGTCTTCTTTATACTGAAATCCTTTCTCCATTGGTGTTCTTTTTGGATTACATTGTTCCATATTAAAGTTTGCTAAAAGTTTCTCTATGAATTTCGTCTGATCAATCTTTATCTTGTTCTCTGTCCTCGTAATGTTCATTCCCAAAAAATGCTTTATTTCTCCTAGGTCTTTTGCTTCAAAATATTGTTTTAAAAGTTTTACGATATCTTCTACGTCTGTGTCCTTTCCTAGTAGTAACATGTCATCTACGTAGATTATTATCCACACTTTCTGATTATAATATAAACAACAATCATGTCTGGATCTTGTAAAGTTATTTTTATTTGCAAAATCATTAAATGTATCATTCCACACTTTTGGTGATTCTTTCAGCCCATATAATGCTCTATTTAGTCTTAGTGTAGGTGTATTACACTTTAATCCTGCTGGTGCATAAACATAAACTTCATTTTCGAGTATTCCATTCAAGAAAGCTGTAGGTATATCTAGTTGTCTTATTTTCCAGTTATGTTGTAACGCTATTGACAAAAATAGTCTAATCGTTGAAGTTCTTGCAACAGGTGAGTAGTTTGGTTCAAAAGGATCCTCCTCCTTGATCTGAAACCCCTTTGCCACCACTCTAGCTTTTTTAGTTCCATCTTCTTTTGTTCTAAACACCCATTTTGTCTGTATTGCTGTTTTTCCTTCTGGTAAATCTGTTTCTGTCCATGTTTTTAGTTTTTCATGGAAATCCAATTCTTTTCTGATAGCTTCCTTCCATTCTTTACTCTTCACTGCTTCTTCATACTTAGTTTGATCTTCTTTACTTGCTGATATTAGGCAATATGCGGTATAAATCTCATATTCAGTTAGATGTCTTGGTTTAGTGATTTTTCTACCTTTGCTTGTTGTCTCCATCCTTGATACACATTCTTCATAGCTTTCTGAATTTGAACTGTTTATATCTTTATTTGATTCATCTTCTGTCTCATTTTCTTCTTGTATTTCAATTTCTATTTCATTTGTTCCTCCTTTTAAATCATATTCATTTTCAATATCTTCTATTACTTGCTTATACTCTTTATTTTTTTATTTTTCTTTATTTCGTCATAGTTGGTTATCTTCTCATTAAATTTCACGTCTCTTGAACAAAAAATCTCTTTCTCCTCATAGTTCCATAGTCTGTAACCTGCTCCAGTATATCCTATATGTATACATGGTTGTGCCCTTCTTTCTATTTTACTTTGCCTTCTCTCTAAAAATGAAATAGTCAAAATTCTACTATTTGAATTAGTACCAGCATTTTTTACTAATAAAATAGTCGTTTTCACTTTTAAATAGTTATTTTTTACTATGTAAATAGTTAAAGTTTGACTAATTTAAGATTAGTCACCATATTTGACTATTTCTGACAGTTAAAAGTAACTAATTTCTTTAGTCGTTTACGGCCAACAACAAAGTATTATTTGAATTAAATGCATATACCTCGCCATGGTTAAATGGCCCATAAAACAAATAAAGATGCAAAAAGTTTACCTCAAAATAGCAACACAAATAATATATTAAACTTTAAAATATTATGAACAATATTTATTGACAAATAAAATTAATTTTTATAAGAGCGGCTGACAGCCGAATGCGTTAAGAGGTTAGCTTGACAAACTTGTCAAGTGACAGACCTGAGTTCAATCCCAGGCTGGGTCAAAACTTTTTTTAAATTTTAAATTTACTAATTTGACTATTTCATTCAGTGGAATTTGACTAATTTTTAGTGACTGCTTTTTCACTATGACAATTAGTCAAATATGACTTATAATTAGTTATTTTTGACTAATTCATTTTAAGAGAGTTGGTAAAATAACTGCCCACGCTTGGCTTCCGAATACTCTTAATTTTGATATATCATTCTTACTGTACCACCTTGTAGCTGGAGTTTCTCCATTATTTGCCTCTGTCGGTGACCTGTTTAGCTCATAAGCTGAACATTGAATCGCTTCACCCCATAGCTCTCTAGGTAGGTTTGTTTCCACAAATTTTGTTCTGACTTTGTCCAATAATGTTCTATTCATTCGCTCCGATGTGCCGTTCTGTTGTGGAGTATATGACATTGTGTACTCAAGCTCAATCCCTTTCATTTTACAAACATTTTTAAAGAAATTTGACATAAATTCCCCACCATTATCTACTCTTATTCTTTTTGTTTTTTAACCCATGTTGAGTTTTTATTAAGTTAATAAAATCAATTAAGTTTTGTTCCCATTCACTTTTATTTTTTAAAAGTTTAACAACCTAAAAATGAGAATAATCATCTATCAAAACTTGAAAGTATCTATGCCCTTCATGCGTTGGAGTTTTAACTGGACCTGCAATATCTGAGTGTATCAACTCACCAATTTTAGCTGTTGTCTTTTCTTTTCTATAAAATGGTTTTCCAGTCCCTTTACCCTCTACACATGTATTACAAATATTTAAACTATATGGTAACCCTAACTTACTTAAATTATGCCTATTTGTATGCCCTAACCTTCTATGCCAAAGACTTTTATCTACATTTTGCTCCATACCTTCTTCTCTTACAGTATAGTTACAGTTTTCAGTCTTAAAATCTATCGTTAAAATAAACAAGTTATTAAGTGACTTACAGTAAAAATTTAAATCGTTTTTAGACAAAATTGCCTTCTTTATTCCTGAGTCGTTACAAAAACTAACTTTAAAATCTTTCTTAAGTAATTTGCTTACAGATAATAAAGTATGTGTCATACCTTGAACTATCAATGCATCTATTCTTATTTCTTTTCCTTGACAAACTCCTTTTAGTGTACCTTGCTTATTTCCATACAAAATTTCATTGTTTTTTGCTGTGCCTATCTTTATTGTTGGTATTTCCTTGACATTTGACATATACGTCTCCATTTCTTCCATTGCCATGTGTTGTGTACATCCAGAGTCCAAAATAAAATCTTTTATATTTGTCTGATTTTCTGTGATGCTATTTAATGCAATGAATGCTATTTCTTCTGTCTTGTCTGCTATATTACTGCTTTCACCTCTGTTTTCGCTTTGTTTGTTACCTTGTCCTCTTTGCTGGCCTCGGTTATTTTGTGAAAAGCCTCTATTATAACCTCTACGTCCTCTGAAGTTTCCTCTTGTCATATTATTTTGTTTGCATTCAAAAAACTTATGACCTTGTCTTCCACATTTATAACATGCAAATGACATTTCATTGTTACTCTAATTACTCTGTTTATTCTTGAATTTCATCTCTTTATCTAACAGCCTAGCCTTTACGAAATCCATTTTAATGTCAGTGTTCATTGTCTCTATTGCAGTTATTACAGGTTGGTAATCTTCATTCAGCGAAAGTAATAGATGGCATACTTTATCTTCTTCTTCTATCTTTCCTGAACCAGCATTTTCCAGATCTCTTATTAGTGTATCGAAAATAAGAAAATGATCTTCTAGTTTATCCCCTCTTTTTAATTTTAATGTCAATAACTTACGCTTTAAAGTGAGCTTGGTAAACACACTTTTTCTTTCAAATACTCCTTCCAATGCTTTCATCATCTCTTTAGCAGTTTTAGCGTCTTTTACTTAATCCAAATGCTTATCTGTTAAACATTGTACAATTATGCTCTTCGCTTTTGCATCTTTCAACTTAAATTCCTTTTTGCTGTTGTCATCAGTATAGTTATCCTCTGTTTTTTCCAGTGCCTCGGATATCTGCCTTTCTTCTAGAAGTGTGTGAACTCTGAACTTCCAGTTGTTGGAATTTGTGAACTCTGAACTTCCAGTTGTTGGAATTTGTAGAACTTGTTAACTGAGGTAAATTTACCACTGAGCTACTCATCTTATGGCTTTATTGCTGTGCCCATAACCTGTTACAGTATTTGGGGGTTGATTTATGTCTACAATAATAGTCTACTTCTATTATTTTAATCTTAAGTTTTATTTTATACGACAACGTGCTTACATATTGGTTATGTTACAGTACTCTTCTTCTTCTTCTTTTAATTACATCTCATAAACTAAATTATTCAACATGATTGAGTTGTAGTAAAATAATTTATCTACGCCAGTGAGATAAGAACTTCTTATCCCACTCATTTTGAGTGAGATAAGAAGTTCATTAACGCACGCGTTTTTCTCTTTTTTAACCAATCAAATAAAAAAGTTAAAATGTCAAAATGTCAAAATAACCCTAAATTAAGTCTTAGACAAAAATAATTACCGTTTATTTTTTCATTTGGAGGCGTAGATAAAAATTTGTACAATATACGTGTGATAACGCTTTATTAACGTACTTTTGCGATTGCCCAACTCGTGCTACGCACTCGTTGGGCAAATTTCGCATGCGTACGTTAATAAAGCTCTTATCCCACTTATATCGTAAATAACTATTATTTAACTATTGGACCAAAGAATTATTCAAAATTACTGTTGTTTATACAAGTGTATAAATATTGTTTATTATTGTGTATAAATATTGATGTTTATACAAGTGTATAAATATTGACAAGATTACAAATGAAATGAAAAACTTTATTATTAACTCTATTATTATTTTTTTGTATTACCCTTTTTCATTAAATTATGAAATTTTAGCAAAAGTACATCAGGTGATTTAAATTGAATATAAAATTAATAAACGATTTTTTACAGTGTTTTAATTTTTCTACTTTATTATCTTATCACATAGTTTTATTGTGTATAAAATTATGTTTAAATGTTGCATTTTAGCCTGGGAAGCATTAATTGTTGGAATGGTTGGAGCCCTGCTAATTTGTTTTTCTATGCCTTTAATAGATAAGGTAGCATATATATTTTTTATATATATATATATTTATATATATTTAAAATTATTTTTTTATAGTTAGGAGTGGATGATCCAGTTGGAGCCAGTGCAGTACACGGAGTAGGAGGTATATGGGGTAAATAAATAATTTTTAATATAAATACTTTTTTCTTACTACCTCGACTCAAAATACGTTGTTTCGTCCCCGATTTCACGGCAGAAAGTTTACGTTTCTTGCATTGGTCAAGCTATACGCGCACACTCTATAGCGGGAGTAAAAATTTTTTAGTCGCGTGCTTAACATTTAAATTTCGTACTGCCAACATGAGAAACACAAAAATATGACAGTTTTAAACCATAATTTTGCAATTATAACAACAAATAAACAATTTATGTTTTTACTTTTTTACTTTTTATGTTGTTTTAAGTGTTTAATGGTACTTTTATTTGTTATAAAGTAGTAATTTGTTAATTAAAATACAACCTTTTATTTTTACTGTATTGGCACCGCTGAATTACCATGACAACGCTACAGTTTGTTTGATTTTGAATGTAAACGTCAGAATTAAATTAAACGTCAGATTTTAATTTTGACACAAATTTTTTATATACATTTAATTTTTTCCCGTATTTTCTGCAGGGTAGTAAGAAAAATAGTATACACTACACGGGCAGAAAGTGTGAGAGTCCTGAACTGCGCGCCATGATGCCCTCGGCTTCGCCTCGGGCATCATGGCGCGCAGTGCAGGAATCTCACACTTTCTGCCCTTGTAGTGTAATATACTATTATTTCATCTATTTTTATTTTTAAGGAATTCTTGCTGTTGGAATTTTTGCACAAAACCCATATCCATTGGATACAACTAATGGCAGAAGTGGATTTGTAAAAGGTACCTAACTACCTATCAGTTTACAACATAGAAATAATACTAGTATACGAGTAATAATACGAGTATTATTTCTATGGTTCACAATTTCAACAAAAAAAATATTTTTGTTGTTTCCAACAGAAATTATATTACCTTGATTTTTACGAACTAAGTAGTATAGTACTATAAAAAGCCGATTTGGCAATATAACTCAAGATTCAAGAGTCTTGTCAAATCAAAAATCCGTTTATATAAAAAATATTGTATTCTACTGTTAAATGTTCTTCCAGAATAAATATTAATATAAAAATATAAGTCAAAACCTTAAATCTTAAAGAAATTAAAAAATTGAGTGCTAACCTATTTTTGGTGAAGTAAGGCAAACGAGAAAATTAGTTGGTTACCATTTATATACAACAAAAAACAAATGTTACACTATGCTAATCTTATACTTTTTTTAAAGGTGGAGGTTTCTATCTATTTGGCGTACAAGCCCTAGCAGCTATATGTTTTGCAGCCTGGGGTCTTATATCAACTATAATACTGCTTTGGGCAATAAACAAAATAATCATCATAAGGATGGAAGTTCAAGAAGAATTAATGGGAGCTGATCTGACGGAACACTTGGTTAAACATGGGAATGTAAATAGAGTATGCCTTTTAATAGATAAAGAAACCAAGTAACCAATTAAAAATATATATAATAGTTCACTTTGGTACTCCAGTACCATGGGTACCCATGTACCAATTAAAAATATATATAATAGTTCACTTTGGTACTGCAGTATCATGGGTACCCATGTACCCATGGGTACTGCATTTTCTATAAGCATCTTAAATTAACAACCTACTTAATTTCACTATTTTTTTTAAATTTCCTGCTGTGTTGAAAAAATAGTATTTCTAAATACATAAATATAAAATAGTAATTCTAAAGGTAATTCTGATTTCAAGTATTATATAACAATGTTAACTACGTACTCTTATGCTTACGCCTCTGATGTGTTGTGTAGGATCAGTTTTATTTTTCATTTTAAGTGTATTTTAATAGTATATATATATATATATATATATATATATATATATATATAGTGGTTCCTGATTTTTGAGCAATTAATATACCTACCTGCATGTCATGTAAAATCGATTTTTAACCTGGAAACTAATTTGCTCACTAATGACCATATGTAGAAATGCAAGTTTTAATTGGACATGAAATGATCACAATAAAATACTAAATATAAACATTTATTTTAAGATTATATTATACATTATACATTATACATTGAACGTTAAATTTATAAAACTAAACTTCGAATTTCTTAATTTTTTTTTTTATTAAAGTTTAGTTTTATATTTTTCTAAACAAGGATAATAAATTAACACTGTAGGTACATAAAACATAATTTACTGTAGGGTGGTCTAAAAAATTAAAGAGTAGTTTAAATGAGTAGTATACAATTTTTTTTGGGGTCGGATAACATTTGGAGGTCGCCCATAATTAAATGGATATATTATGAAAATAAATAATTTGAAAAACTAAAATTAAAAACTTTTGATGGTTCAGGAAACTGTTTCCTGTAATTTACGACTAGGCAAAGAATGTACTGCATATTTTCTTCGTAAATGGTTATATTTTCGAATAAGAGTGATTCCCCGTTCGACAGTATTATTAACAACCCTTATCTTAAAATACTTTACGAAATTCTTGTGAAACCAGATCACATGGCTAATTCTGAGGTGGTACTGAAAAAAAAAACAATATGCCTCTTAAAAGCATTTTTTCACAGATATTTATGTGAATTAAAGCCAATTAAATTAATAATAAAAAAAAAAATATTTATGTTTTTATAACTTTTTAGATTGAAATATCGTTATAGGAAGCTTTTATTTCAAGAAGTGCTTTATTCCAATACCTCACAAAAACCACTTTTATTTTAGAGTTTCCAGAAAAAGACGTATTCTGTTTATTAATTTTTGGACTTTTTTTCGTTTTCTTTCCGCTGTCTTCTTCTATTATCCCTTGCTGTAAGTCAGCACCACTATTAACCTACTTGAAAAATATTATTTTGGCTTTTTAAGGAGTCTTATTGTCAACGTTATTTATTTTAGTCAAAGCGTATTTTAGCAACATTAAACAAACCTTCGAGATCCCTTCTGAAAATTTTCTTACGCACAGTTTTGTTTTTGCTTTGAGGAGTACGGTGCTTGTTGTGAGCGTTCATACAATTTTGATAGTTTTTTCATATACAAATTAATTCGCTCCAAAATAGTCAAAACTGCTTCATATGTCTATTTGTAACTCACTAATAAAGTCCTCTTTTAAATGGTGAAATTAAAATACTCCGGGACAAATTGTCCCGGACAATCCAATCCAAGAGGAAGTCCTGCTGTAGAAAAACATGAAATTGGCTGTCCTATAGGACCATCTTAATCAATGATAGGACTATAGTTAGTTTGAGCAGATCTTGTACACATTCTAATAAGTAAAGCAGAGACATAAATGAACATAAACGAATACCACATATTAAAAATACCTTTATCTTTGCATCTAAGACACGACTTAGTAGGTAGAATTAATGAAAATAAATTAATATTGGAACAAACATTAACTTGTTGTTTATTTTAATACTTGCAAGTAAACAAAATTTGTATTTTTTTTTAATTTTCACAATTTTGTAGCATAAATACTACATTAAAAAGACAACTTTCGGTTGGTGAAATTGAAACAAGTGACATTAATTAATAATTATTAGGAACATTACATACAGAAATAGCCTATGCGGAGGCAAGATTCAACAATGTTGTTTTTCTCATACAAATGTGGACTACGCTAATATACTGTGACGGATATGTAAATTATGTACGTTCATCATTACTTTTCATTTGAATTATCTTAAAGATTAACCTTGCAAATACAAACAATTCTTTTAAAAATCATTTAGAGATCAGTTAAAAATCCTTAGAAAAGCGGTATCTTTATGTCAACTCATCTATTTAGTTCTCTTATATCTTACATGTTCTTATTTATATACATTTTATATAATTTAAATAATAATTTGCTCTTGGTTGATAGTTTTATGCACTTATATTAATTAGCTTTTAAACATTCTAAAAACATTCCTTGTTTAAGGTTGGCATTTCTAGAGCTATTTCTGCATTTCGCCCAGTGTTAGATACAAGTAATGTCGACAAAATAAATAACATTGGCTTAAACCCTGGCCATAATAAAAGCTTAAATATTATAAAAATTATGGCTCGAAGAAAGTACAAGTTATCAAGTATTTTGCGGGATATAACACAACATAGAAACATGGGAGTAAATTTGCCAAAAAATCTTTTTCCGAAAATCAAAAAGAAGAAACCTACAGTTGTAAGACCTGCTCAACATAATGTACACGTTGACGGCGAGGATGGTACAAAAGGTGCCCCAATAGCATGGGTGAATTAAATATGTAGAACATAAATAAACACGTTGTTATTAGATTGTCCTAATATTGTTTTATTACCCACATGTTATCGCTATAATCAAAAAAGAATTTCAGGTAAAATATAATTTAGAACATATAAAGGAGACTATCGCTCGAAACAGGGGCACTGATTACCCACATAAATCAGAATAAATCTTGGCAGATTGCGTTATAAATTATTTTCCCTGATAACACAGAGTTCAGATGTAAGTGAAAAGTGCTGGTCATATATGTTTTTACTGATAGCCTTTTAGTGATAGGTAAATGCAATTTTAAGAACACAGAGAAAAGTACATTTTAATGTACGCAAAATTACAATTTTTATTAGTTAACAACCGAAGTGAAAGGAGAATAAAAAAGTTACAATTTAAAGTAAGTATTATTATTATTATTGTAATTATTATTATAACATAATATTATATTTAAAATTTACATTGTTTTATTACAATGGTTTTTATAACTAAAACTAAATTAAAAAATTTGATTATTTCCGAAAATTGACGGCATGACACGAAAAAAAAACATTAACCATTAATGCACAGAACATGTTCATGCAGAAATCAAGTCGATATACTATTCGAAATCATTACAGTACAGCTGAGTTTGTCATATTAATGAGTACTATCATCAATAGATGTGACAAACGTAAATATTGTTGTTGTCAAAGTAATCGTGAATTTTTATCGGAAAATCAATGATTTCGAATTTAGTATATTGACGTTATTACTGTTCTGCGAATCAATGGCAGTTTTATTTAGCTTATAAAAAACGCATTTAATCCATTTTTAAATGGGTAGTCATAATGTATGAATTGGACGGCTTTCTGCAGAATGGGACCAACCCACACCATGATGAAACTGAGAAAAAAGCTATCAAAGATTTTAATAATTTTAAAATTACCTGTTAATTTTATGCAGATTTTGGACTTACAGAGGTTTAAAGGATATAATTTAATAATTTCATCAGGTGGATTTTGTGATGTTATGTGTAAGGGTGACGAAAAAAATGGGCTTTTGTTGGTTGGTTCCTTTCTGCAATTTATGAAAACTACTATCTGATGTATGTATGTATTTAAAGAAAAGGGACAATTATTTATTTCCAAACAAAATTCAACTGATATTACTATTATAATGGTAATATGAATTAATTTTGATTCTATTTGAAATTCGTCCACATCATCTTCCAACCCCACCTCATCTTGTAAGCTACCAAAAAAATGCATCAAGACTTTATATTTTGCAGAAGCAGGAAATCTTTAAAGACTTCACTGAAAGAAATATATACTAAAGTTAAATAAAAAAATAATTAGGGCAAATATATTTTATGTTTCATATTTGGACTACCACATACATTGCTAAAACAAATATATTCGTTTGGTTAGCAGCCTATTGCTGCCCTAGCAATATAAATGTGTTTCTAGCAATATTTTTTTGCTGTAATTCACTTATAGTTTACATTTTATAGTAAGGGTAAGTTTATTTTTATTTAGATCTAACATATCTTCTTTACAATAAATGTATTACAAAATTTAACATACATTCATAATAAACAGTAGTATAAATGTATAAAGCACTAGTATAAAATTTTTAGTATAAATTTGTGTTTACTTTTAGCAACAAATTTCTTTCAGTGTTTGGTAGTGGGTCTACCAGCCTGCTTTTTTACAAAAAAGATCCAACCCACTTGCAGATATTCTACAGATTCTAATTCTGGATTAGTAATCCACACTATTATTGAATGTTGGTTGGTTCAATGATTAATAGATTTCACTACACTTGCATTTTGGCTATGACCTATTTTGCAGATAAATTATACATACTTAATTAGTTCATAGGCTAAATATCTCGATTTTGTTGGTTTTGTGGGTTGGTTCCTTTATGCAGAAAGGCGTCCAATTGTAGTCGAATCAATATCAATATTTACCTTCATAATAATAATAATTTTATCTGTGCCACTAGCAGAATAGTTTATTTGGGCTAAAAAACTTATTTCAAAAATATAGTTATAGTCGATTAAGGTACTTAATTATTATTTTTTTAAGCGTCTCATAAGTCCATATAGAAAGACTCTATGGGTGAATATATTGAGACCTGTGAAAATAATTATTTTTTATTTTTGGTTGTTTCACTGTTAGTTCTGTTTTGGGAAGCCACCAGGTCTAGTAATTTCATAACATAAGTGGTTCTGCACTAATGCAAGAATTTTAAGAAATCATACATTTTGAGTATTAGAGCTTCACGGAAGATAGCTTTACGGAGGTTAGGATTTCGTATGCTTTTTTTTAAACATCCCTTTATATATTTGAAATAAGTCATTGTATCTTTTGACACCTTAATATTTTTTAAAAATACAATTGTACATACATAAAATATTTATAAAAAAAAATCTACTTACTGAGATATAACACTTCACGGTTGATAGGTTTTTAAATAGCAAATTAATGAACATAAGCTTTTGAATTATAAAACAGCAACACTCATCTGCATATAAATTCTAACTGACCTGTCGTAAACAGAGGTTTTTGCTTATTTAAAATGATTAAAGAGCCATCCGTTGCATAAAATTTAAAGCAAAAACTGATTCACGGAGGATAGCATCAATTAACACCTACATAAATGGTTATAAAAATTATTTCTTTTATTTTTTTATAATATTTTATACAGGGTGTCCGGAAAAAGGAGGTCAATCCTTTAACCATATATTCCTTGAGTTAAAACAATAAGACTTTCATAATACCATTTTTCAATTTAGAGCTTCATGTTCGATATACAGGGCGACAAAGTTTGAAATTTAAAACAGATTTTTTTTAATAATTCGAGTAATTAATAAGGTATTAAGTTCAAATTTGGTACACTATTTCAACATAAATAGTTACATCTTTTGAGATCAACAAAACAAAAAACAAATGTCAAATAATCAAAATAGGGGGGGTCCAGTACTCACTGACCCCCCCTATTTTTTAGTACGGGCGCCAGTGACTTCCAAATGGTATTTTTTCAGGTAATCATTTAGTGTTAAACATTTTTTGTCTCCTACAAAAATTTGATGAAATGATTTGTTTTAGAGATAATTTGTAAAGTATTGGTCCTTGATTGATGCCCAGGCGGCTTATGGCAATCTCATAATTTTCAAATGTACTACTGGACCACCCTATTTTGATTATTTGACAATTATTACATCTTTGTAGGACAACAAAACAAAAAACAATTGTCAAATAATCAAAATAGGGTGGTCCAGTACTACATTTGAAAATTATGAGATTGCCATAAGCCGCGTGGGCATCAATCAAGGACCAATACTTTACAAATTATCTCTAAAACAAATCATTTCATCAAAATTTTATAAGAGACAAAAAATGTTCAACACTAAATGATTACCTGAAAAAATACCGTTTGGAAGTCACTGGCGCCCGTACTAAAAAATAGGGGGGGTCAGTCCTCAATGACCGTTACACCATTTTAGCTTGCACTCCATGAAAATGTTTGTTTCACTTATTAGTTTGCACTTTTTTTTATAATTATTGTTGGTTTCATCTTTAAACTTTTACGTTTCAAGAGCTTTCCCGCACGCGACGTGTCTTCTCGAGCGCTGGAACCGAACTGATGATATAGGTTAAGCTATATAGATTAACATTTACGTAGGATAGGTTTTAGACTTTTAAAATATTGTAAAAAATAATTAATTGAGGTTAAAAATTTGGAACCTGAGCTGTAATATCTACTTAATTATGAAAGATCAAAACACAATAAAAGTGTAGGTCAAACTCATTTGGTTTTATTAAATATGAAGGGGGAAACACCATCGGGGGATATTTTGTGAGATTCACCCTTATGTAACTAAGTACCAGTTGAAAAGTGAAATTATTATAAAACTTGGTACAAAAATGTATCGAAAATCTATGAAAGAAATATTCTAATTAAATGCTTGAAATCTTATTAATTGCCTCGCACACAATCTACTGTGAAATGTATGCTTGCCTATACTAGGTAGGGGAGAGTGGGTAGACATTGGACAATTTTTAGATTTTTTTGCCTGGGTCTCTTAAAAATGTAATTATTTCTAATTTCAAAGTTTCAGGTAATATATTATAGTGTTGACTTCTGAAAACGCAAAGAGATAAATATGTGCACTTTAAACCGTAAGATGGGTTTGCTACAAATTTTTGAAAATTTTCGGTCATCTGTCCAAAGTCACCCCACATACGGGGAGATTCTGGACAGCATTTGGACACTACAAAAATATTATAAATTTAGGAATTTTATTGGAACCGCGAAATTTGTCCATTGTCCATTGTCTCCCAGTGTCCAGACCCTCCCCACTCTCCCCTACTATTTTTTTAAGAGAAATATACTGTGTAATGTATACTCGGCTATAATATGTGATTTTTCCGCCAGGTCTATAATGTATTCATGCTATAGCATAACTACATATAGACCTGGCGGAAAAAGCAATATATTGCATAATATTGTTTTTTTCGGTACACATAGGAACTTCCTAGGAAGTAAGTTATTAATTTAAGAAAATGCATTTATGTATTTGAAACGGGTTTTCTTGTACGAAGTAAAATTTTCTTATTCATAGTTACTTCTCGTTTACTATACAAAATAATATAATTTGGTTGTAAATCGCAAGTTTCTTAAAAACAACATGTTGTGATTTATTTTAAAGAAATCATTTAAAGCTATTAATTAAATTATTTAGATCTAAGTAATTTAGATTTAGTTTTCATTAATGTTTAATACAAGCATATAATATCTTATTTTAACAAAATAATATCATTGAATAAATATAATTAACATAAATACGTAATGTGTTTAGTTCAAAAATGCGTACATTTACTTGAAGCAAGTAGGTAAGTATTTATTTCCTGTTATTTCGACGTTACTTGTAGAGCCAATTAGCGCATTTGCCTCCAAATTTTGGCTAATAAGTTGGCCTTGGACACAGGCAAAGACGCTTGTCGGTTTTAGTTAAGTTAATAAATTAAGATATAACTATGAAAGAATTCTTGGCTTAAAACCATTTAAGTCATTTGTGCAATTATCATATTTAACGATTTTACAAGCATTTTAAAGTTTTTAACTAATTTATATTATTTTTTTTTTAAAAAAGTTTTACCTATACCTAGGTATTATAAAATGTAGCAATTGACTGCTAAATGTCCGGGATACAAATTTCTGTTGACTAGAATTATTATTGGTTGCTTTTTCACTATGAAAATTATTCAGTTTTAAAACCTTTAGTATTTTGAAAAATAATAAAAAATCGTTAAAATAATATTAATTTCCTTTAAAGTTGCAAATATTTTTTTTGAAAAAAAAATATTTTTTTCCATACTAAAGGACATACCAATTACACTTCGCGTCAAATTTAACGCACCACTAAAAATTTGCCACACTTTTAAAGTTGATTTTCTCGCGAACCGTAAAACCGAATTTTGTAGTTTTTTTTTTAAATTGTAGGTTTATTCTTTGGTTATGACACCTTTATTAAAATATTTTTTCAAATTTACGTTTTGAGTAGATACAGGGTGCAAGAGTAATAATAAGTTTTTCTATGTAAATTTGAAACGCCCTGTGGGTTGTACCAGCTATAACAGCATATGTTTCTTACAATCAAACTATAGCCCCATATTCTCTTAACATTTTGTTTTTTAATTCACCGCGTTATCTTTATTTTTAAAAGAAATATACAGTAAAATATTATTTCGCCCCTACTTCTAATTACGGCTTCACATCGACAGCTCATACTCAAAACCAGATGTCTAATCTCGCCTTGATCAATGACATTCCATATTTCTCGTACAATATTTGCTACGTCATCAAGGGAGGCAGGCAAGGGATCATGATTTCTTAGTCGTCTACCCATATTATCCCAAAAATGCTCAATGGGGTTGAGATCCGCAATATTTGCAGGACAGTCTAAAGTTTCAACACTCATGTAAGTGCTCTTGCACTATATGGGCTGTGTAAGGTCTTGCGTTTGCGAGTTCTGTGGGAGCTGTCAAGGAAAGTCCTCCCCAAACCATTACCTCCATTAAATAGCGTGGTTTTACGAATGTTACACTGAGAAAATCTCTCTTTTGGACGTCGGGGAACCCTTACTCGCCGATCAGAGCTGAATAAACAAAACCTGGACTTGTCTGTAAATAGTACACGCTGCCAATTCTCAATATTCCAGCCAACATGTTGTCTGGCAAATTGCAGTCTTGCTCTACGATGATTTGCATTTAATTTCGGTCCTGTTACTGGAATTCTGAAGCTCAAATTCTGTTCCGCAAGACGTCTTCTTACGGTGGATACACTTGTTTGAAAATTATGAGTAGTATTAAGTTGTACCTATAGATTTCTTGCTGTTACAAATCGTTTTCTCAAAGCATGCAAATAAAGGAAACGATCATGTATGGCTGTTGTCATTTGATGCCTTCCCTGCTCATCACGTCTGTTATGAGCATTGGTTTCTTCATAACGTCGAATAACACTGGATATTGAGGTATGATTAACTCCGAATCTCCGAGCTATGGTACCTTAATCCGTGCTCGGCCGATGTAATAATTCTCAGTTTGGCGCTTCATTACAATAACTTTATGCAGACAACTTAAATGAAAATGACAGTTTCTGACCTACCATGACCTAGCTATGTTAAGTTCCGGGAAAAAACTCACTCGTGCACCCTGTATATAAATGTAAATTTGAAAGAATATTTCAATAAACGTATTATTACCGAAGAATAAACCTACAATTTAATAAAAAAATCACCAAATTTGGTTTGACGGTTCGCGAGAAAATCAACTTTGAAATTGTGGAACATTTTTAGTGGTGCGTTAAATTTGTCGCGAAGTGTATATTATAATTTAAGTTTTATTTTTTTATAAGTTAATCATTACATTCATTTTTATACTACAAGCAGGGTCGTCACTACAGGGGTGATATGTAATATCTCTTTTATAAAAAAAGATACGTTCTAGAAGATGTGAAATAAACCCACAATTATTTTGTGTATGGCCTTAGACTGACGTAATATACTGTTTAAATTAAACAAATTTACAATAAATTATGAAACATAGTGATTCTTATCAAATCAATCATTTTTATAATATTATTGGAATAGCAAAAATGGTATTTTCTTTTATTTTAAGATTTCTTAGTAGAAAGAACAAATTCATATATATATATATATATATGTTACGCCGAATTTGCGTAATTGCCGATTTCATGTATTCGGCAAAATTTTGCCTAATTCGTGAAATCGGCAACGGACTTGCCGATTTCATGAAATGGGCAAAATGTTGCCGAATACATAAATTGGGCATATATAAATTTGCCGATTACATGAAATAGGCAACCATATATTATTTTTAAATTTGAGGTTATGTTGTAGGTATGTAAATACCGTCTTCGGAATAATAGTAATATTTGGTGTTCCGTGAATATATATTGTTAAAATGGGTGAAGTTGGTAAATCTAGTCAGGTGTGGGTCGACGAATATGAGAAAGAGGTAATAAAAACGCTACAAGCAATAAGCAATGGCGAAACTATCGAGAAAAACAGGCAGTTTTATCACATTAAAAGTACCTACAAATTAATAGATTTTGCTGGAATAACAAAATTATGTAGAATTAAAGATAACAAAATAATGATTACTAAAACGAATGCATGAAATGTAATTCGAGATTTACATACAGATTGCGGACATAAAGGAGAAAAAAAGCAAAAATTGTAAAAAAATGGATATTGATAAAACACCACAAAAATAAGCCAAACTCAACAACACAACCCTACCGACCCCGCCCCATTGGCCCCCCCCGCCCCAAATGTGCCATGCTGCAAGAAGCTGTGATATTTTTGAATGTTAAAAATAATAAAGTTTTAGTTTTATTGTTTAGAGAAAATATATATATATATTTTTTTAATAAAATGTGACTTTCATTTATTTATAAAGAATGTATTAAAATGTTGAAAGATTATATATTTTTTCTACTCCCACCTTTAAAACGCCCTTTATCGTACATGTTTACATGACACTAAGTGACCTTTTAAATACACATTGACAAGTTGTGGCTTTACGGCGCTTTAGTCACGGGCTGAAGTTAGCAACAGGTTTTTAGTCACGGGCTGAAGTTAGTTTTAAGTTAGTTGACAGTTGACAAATGTCATACAATCGTTAAAATAAAGTGCCTTTCTTGTAAAATAATACTAAATGTGAAAATTATTTTATTATCTCAATACAAAAATACAAAAATATTAAATAGTGTCTCAACGCCAATATTTAAAAAGTTTATATGAACATTGTACTGACCTTTTAATTTCGCCGGCAGTAAACTATAACTTAAATTCAGGCACGGACTTTACTGTAAAGTCCTCATAAAACATTTCCTTTACTTTCACTGTGAAAAACTGTCAATTTTCAAGATACATTTCGATTTATAACCTTTATAATTGTGTTTATAAAATGTAAAAATGTGACATTTGCCAGTTTCCCCTGTTGTTTCATAGATGGCGCTCTATACAAATTTTTGAATTAAATTAAGATAATAATAAGTATTTGTCGTAGAAGAAGTATAGTATGCACCTCGTTTATAAACTTTTCTATACACTCATTAACTTAAGCACTCGCTCGCAAGCTCGCTCGTGCCTAAATTAAATTCGTGTATAAAATGGCGATTATCAAACTTGATACATAATATACTATTTTTATTTTTGTAATAAAATATTTGAAAGCTCATGTGAATTATTAAATTATCTGTGTGCCTATTCGTTGAAATAGGCAAACTTAATTAAAATAATTGCCCATTATATGAAATCGGCAAGTCCGTTGCCGATTTCATGAATTAGGAAAAATTTTGCCTATTACATGAAATCGGCAATTACGCAAATTCGGCGTAACATATATATATATATATTTTATTTTAAAATCATTTACAAGCAGAGTCAACGTCATAAAGAATATTCAAAAACATCAAATCAATTGATTCCAGTTTATCATATTAAATATAGTTTATACAAAGTATAAGGAAACATAACCTATAAAAAAATATGTAAACTTTAATATTATAGTTTTATCACTTTTAGACAATGGTATAAGTGAAAAGTGCCGAGCATATCTGTTTTTAGTGATAGGTAAATAAAACTGCAAGCAGTAGAACGCAGTGTGTCCGAATTTCATATAAATGTAGTATACTATAGTTGAAAAACTATTACAGCGATAATAAAAAATTTTATTACTCACGTCCACGTTAACATATTTCAAGGGGAAGGCTCTGAACGGTGGCGATTCCTTTGGAACGAATCTGTAGAACTCCTCGTCGTTTCGATACCATTTTATCGAGTATAAAGCGACCTGCTCGAGATCGTATTCGCAGGATAACGTCACCGTATCACCAGACTTCGCCACTTCCGGTACGCGAATTATCATCGATTTTAAGGACAAGGATTCTGAAAAATAAACAACAATTACTTTTAGGTATGCAATCTTAAACTTTAAATGGAGCATATAAAATTTATACATATACAATGTAGGTATATTACACATACAATAGATACATAGATATAAGGGTAATATTTGATACTGAAAGCATTACATTTCAGTAAAATGTACTAAAATAATATCTTTATAACTTTGTTTTGAAATATAAATATATTTGAACAAAATACCAAATTTTATTATTTAATGTTATCCCATAACGACTGTATTGTATAAAAATGTCAGTTATTATTTATTATATATTATTAATTACTGCATAATTTGTCCACCATCAATAGTATATTATGTATTAAGTTTTATAAACGCCATTTTAGTTACGAGTTTAATTAAGTTTATAAACGAGTTGTACCCGAATTTATAATATTGCTAACTTCAGCCCGTGACTAAAAATCTTAAAAGCCACTGCTTCTAACTTCAGCCCGTGACTAAAATGCCGTAAAGTTACAGCTCGTCAATGTAAGATTAGATAATAGTATATTATGAATCAAGTTTTATAAATTCCATTTTAGTTGCGAGTTGTATTAGGCACGAGCGAAGCTTGTAAGCAAGTGTTTAATAAAAACAATGTGTCTAAGAGAACATTTTACACCTGTCAATTTGACAGTGTCAAATGTCAACGGATTTAACCTCACTTTTCCCCAATTTATAAAAAAGCTAACTTCAGCCCATGACTAAAATGCCCAAAATCCACTATTTATAACTTCAGCCCGTGACTAAAATGCCATAAAGTCACAGCTCGTCAATGTAGGAGTAGATAAACGACATTTTAGACACGAATTTAATTTAATTTAATTTAATGAGAAGTCTAGAAAAGTTTATAAACAAGTTGCATACTATACTTTTTCTACGAGAAATACTTATTATTATCTTAAAATGATTTAAATCAAATATTTTTATAGAGCGCCATCTATAATACAAGGGGAATCTGTGTTGATGTCAAATGTCAAATTTGTATGTGTTATAAAGGTTATAAATCGAAATGTATTCCTTGAAAATAGATTAACAACAGTTTTTCACAGCGAAGGTAAAGAAAATGTTTATGAGCACTTTACGGTGGAGTCCGAGCTCGAATTTAAGTCGAATTCAGTTTACTTCCGGCGAAATTAAAAGGTCAATACAATGTTCATATAAACTTTTCAAATATTGGCGTTGAGAAACTATTTAAAGCTTTTGTATTTTTGTATTGCGATAATAAAATAATTTTTCCATTTAGTATTATTTTACAAGAAGGGCACTTTATTTTAACGATTGTATGACATTTGACAATTGTCAAATAAATTAAAGCTAACTTCAGCCCGTGACTAAAAACGTGTTGCTAACTTCAGCCCCTGACTAAAACCACATAAAGCGACAACTTGTAAATGTGTATGATTATGGGTTTAAAGGTGGGAGTAGAAAAAATATCTAATTAAACAAAACTTAACTTTTTTACTTACAATCCCCTTGATATGGGTATTAAATTAAGGGATGTGACAAGTAGAAATCGTAAAGAGGAGTGACGTCATACCAAATCCAATTTGGAATAAAAGGTTTGTCAAGCAGAATACGTATCATTCCAATTAAAAAAAAACATTTCAAAATCTCAAAAAATTAAATTTACCACCAAATTTTCAAAACTTTCAGAATTCTCAGAATTTCCATAGAATTAAAAAAAAATGCAAAAATTTTCCTTGACATGGGTAAATGAAAGTGTTTGTCGTCAAGTAGAATTCGCGATGTCATTGTAATTTTAATGTGATAAATTAAAAAAAATGCAAAAATTTTCCTTGACATGAGTAAATGAAAGCGTTTATCGTCAAGTAGAATTCGCGATGTCATTCTAATTTTAATGTGATAAATTCGCCTAACAAACTAACTAACTAAATTTTAAGAGAAAAAATAAAAAATTAATTAATAAATGAAGACCCTAGCAAAATTCCTTTACACATGTTCATTTCTGGAAATCTCAGTATTTAGTATTTAAATTAAGCAGTCTCCTTTTCTAAAGTGTATTAGGGTGGTACATTTTAATATATTAAATTAAATTGCCTGTGGTTGAAAAAGTTGCCATTTAAGTTAAATCAAACCAAAATAAATTTTGGAGACACAAAAATGTCTTCGTTTCACAACGCAAATGACTTCAATACACAAATAATATCATTTATATATATCCACATATATCTATGTATATAATAAGTTTATCACTATATAATAAGTTTATCACTACTAATTATTGTAAGATGCTTTCTTTCAAAGAGTGTGGCAAGAACCTTAGGTCTGTGACACTTATCAGCGAGTGTCATTTACAAGACACATGTAATCTCATTAAAGTGAGTCAGTCCTTGTACTTGTAAAAAACATTTTGTAAAACAATCCAAATCAATAAATAGTTTGTGATATCAACTCCAGTATTTGAATTCATCGTGCAATAAGAAAATATCATTCTGTTGTCGTGACTTTTTTCTCATTGTTTTGTTTGTTTTAAATATTTTCCTGATAAATAACAAACAAAATAAAATCTGATTATCGGACAAAATATTAATGTATTTTTTGGGTTCTACGTTTTTTTTTTAATAATAATTTAGGTTCCCAACTATAGAACAAAAAGTGGTTGCAACGTAAACTCAACCACAAAAGTGGTGAACAGGCACGTAGTAAAAAAGTTTGCATTTAGTAAGCGGACCCTAAAGGGGAAATGATTTTCTGGTTTAGGTTACGTTTCAGAAACACATTTCCATTACGTAGGTTGACCGACGCGTCAAGTTTTTAATATAAAAGTTAAAAAGCATTTTTCGTACCATAAGTTTGTAAAGATATGCCAAACAAGTTTATCTTCAATTTTTAGATTTGTATTTTGTCTTAGTCCGTATTGACCAAGAGCCAGCAACATATTTGGAGTATACTATAGTCATTTAAACAGCAAACATTAAATTTGTAAAGATATGCCAAACAAGTTTTATCTTCAATTTTTAGATTTGTATTTTGTCGTAGTCTGTATTGACCAAGAGCCAGCAATATATTTTAAGTAGACTATAGTCATTTAAACAGTAAACATTAAGTTACCCAATCTTTGCTGAAAAATAAAAATAAACTCTGGCAGCCTGGGTCCCTAAAAACAGACAATAGTGGAAGCTATTATCCTATAGGAATCCTAGACTATAGTCGAATCCTAGATACATACTTTAATTTTTATATATGTAGGTCCATATTTTTTTTGTTATTTCGGTAGTCTTGAAATTTTAATGGAATAATTACAATATGTATATGTAGGTTAGAAAAAATTTAATTTACAACAAAATCACTGTCTGTAGGATTGGGTAATTTTTTGGCAATAATTAAAAAAAATAAGATTACCACTAGTATGATTTTATAATTTTTAATTTAAATAAATTAAATCGTAATTGTGAAATTCATTATCAGTAACCCTTAAAACTCAAGTAGATATTCTAATTCAGTTAAAATATTGGATCCTATAGGATGTATACATTTTTTTTAAATAAACCTTACACTTGTTTTAAATAAACCTTACACTTGTTTTCAGCTACCCAAAAAACATATGCATACTAATTTTAGTAAAAAAGAAGAGTTTCCAGAACCTATATATGTAAAATTTAAAGTCTCTAGGATAACAGCTTTTACTATTATCTGTTTATATTTATTCTATCCCCATGTGCCTCTTTATATTTTAGGGTAGCATAACCCGGCCGCAGCAAGTACGGTTAAGTGCGGTTAAAATATATTACTGGCCCTTCCTCTTTTAAGTGTTATATACATATATGCAATTTTACATGGGTGCTTATAAAATCTTTTACACAAAGCGACTTTGACATACCTATTAATAATTATTATTATTATAACTCATAGGAAGTTTATACTGTAGGCAATATTGAAAGTTAAAAATATATTAAATATGACCACAGAATAAATAAGAGTATTTAGGTGGACGAATTTTTGCATGGTTTAATACCAAGATCTTATCTGTTTAACATAGATTTCCAGACGTTTCTTATGCCCAGTGAAGGCTTAATAAAGCAGTCAGGGTTCTGGTGCATGACCGCTGCTTTCCTAAAATGTGTCTTCCTCAATGGTGGTTCTTTGTGCACCTGATAAGGTGACCATGTGACCAGGCGTGGTCAGCTACCTCTGATTTATTGAGAGCCTTTTTGCGTGATATCAAGTGGTAGATGCAGTTCTTCCTGTTTATCTGGTTTGTTGGTTGCTCCAGTGTACCCAGATTAATTATAAATACTCCAATAGCTATTTAACTTATTCAGTATTTACCTGAGGACGACTGAAGATACTTACCAGTCGAAACGTCGTGAATAAAAATAATATGGCAATGGATGTCCAAAACTTTCCTTCATTTAACAAACATTATTGTCTACAACCTTTAAACAAACAATACTCCCATTCCCATTTTTATTTCATCTTTATTTATATTTATATTAATAGCAATTTTTTTTAAATAATTTTAATAATGCATACCTACATAAAAGTAAATAAAGTGACAAGTTTTTAATTAATAAATTGACTCATTCATGGATTTAACAGCTTTTGGCGCTTTTATTATCGCTTGTTTTAATGATGCAAGAGAAAAGACATTAAAGATTTAAGTAAGCACTTAAATTCTGACTTTGTCTAATAAATTTAACGAGAAAGAATCCCGACTTGAATAAAAATTTTGATTAAAAGAGGTTTCCAAAACCTAAAATGTTAGTAATCTGTTTTTATAATTAATGAATTAAAGGCAACTTATAATATAAATTATAATCAAAAAATTTAAGCTGACCAGTATAATATTAGTAGATAATTAACCGCTAATGCAAAACTTCGATAAATATGCAACACATTTTAGGTTATAAATAATAATAATGATTTTTACAATATGATATATTGTAATATTTAATTAAATGGATATTTTACTTGGGAAATTCCGCTCTAAATTATTCATTTCAAATTAATTACGATATAT